TAAGTAAAACGATTTTGCAACACTCAAAATCGTAATCTGATGAACACGATATCTATGAATACTCTGGAGACTTACTTTGTGGGAGATTGAAGTTTTTCTGGGTTGAAAATTTTCGCAGAAAAGGTTGGAGCAGATGAAGAATGGCGCGCGCGGTTTTATAGAACCAGAAAGGGTCGGTTATCAATTTGGGTCGCAATGTTTGGTTACCATGAACCGAAGAGTTGCGATTGTTCGGTTAAAATTGTTAATAAAAATTTTCCCCAAAAAGAATAATCTTGATGGACCTTTGGCCCAATTGCCCGAGCCCGGCCCGACGCACGTGTGGAATTCCCTAGGTTCCTTCATGGTGCATGTGTGTTCTTGTAATGTTTTGAACACTACACATGCTTACCCTTATTTATACACCACCAAAATGTTTTCAACTTTGGATGTGGGACATTTTAAGTGTGTATTCATTAAACCAACATAAGAGGCTTTACCTCTTAACCCAATGGCTTTGTCTCATTTCACCTTCACATTTTACACCCCTTTTTCATAACCCAAATGTCTATAACAAGCCCATTTGATTATAAGGAAAATTGGTTCCAATAGGATCTTGAAAAGGCTCTCTATTGGTTGGATCAGACTCAAAAAGGTCCAACATTTGCTAGCAGATTATTTTCTGCTCGAGAGTCTAAGTTTCAACTTCTGCTGGGGACTTGATGATATGATGGTATCTGGGCAAATGAGGGAATTCGTCTTTGAGAATTGCGACTTCCCTCTCATGACTTGTTACTTTGACCTGCCGAATGTAGATATATTCAAATACTCAGGACATATTATATGCCTTGAATTCGACAGATTGAATAAGGTCATTAAAGAAGTATACTTGGACTTTGCCGTAGAGCGTGAATATGATGAACCAACCCACTCAACCAATGCAGAGGGAGAGATTCTTTGCGGTTACCTCAATAATCTTCGATCTGCTAGGACCTTAACGGTGTGTCCCTATCTCCTTCAGGTACCTCTAACTCTTGACATATTTTTATCACATTTTCACAATATAGGTCATATAAGTACCTTATAAGAGTTCTTGAAATTTTTGAAAATTCTTCGCGATATGGTAATAATTGTTGTCTAGTATAGAGTAAATAGATATAAGATGTAACTATTGTAAAAGCAGATTGGATGTTAGCAGTTGGATATAATTAGGTTAAGCGTGCATTAATAATTAGATCTTACATAGGTCCATTAGGCGATGTTTTCTTTCCTAACCTGTAATTAAGTCGAAGATGATTTTTCGGGCGGTGTGATACTAATCTAAGTGAATAAAGAATACATTGACTACGTAGTCTGAATACCTTAAAGCTAGTACGTTAATTTGTTGTATATATATAGAGATTGTTAGAATGTAATTTTCATAGTAACATGTGTGTTTTTATTTTTATTTTTAAACTATCGTGTATATATATAGATTCTTAGGATGTAAATTTGATAGTAACATGCGTGTTTTTTTCTTATACAAGGCGACTCCAGAAGCTGTACGAACGAGGATGCATCTGAAAGAATATGAGGGAATAAGGCTCCTTCTCAATAATTGCCCAAACTTGGAAACACTAACTTTCGATATTCTTCCTCCAAGCCATTTCATGGTAATTGAATTTATATCTATAACCTCGAAACTAATTTAGACAATTCCATATATACTATCATATCACGGATCCTCTTTTTTTTTTTACTATACTGTTAGGGCTAATTATGATTTCCATTTGATATTTTGCAGACGTCTTTGACATATGCGGGCATTGATCCAAAAACATATTGGCTTCAGAACGTAACTTATAAGTGTTTGAGNGAGACACTTAAGGCCGTGGTGGTTAAGAACTTTGGTGGAGGCTCTAACGAGTTAAATGTGTTGAAGTATTTGATTAGGTCTGGTCGTGGAGTTGGGGCTGTATTGGAAAGAGTTGACCTTTACGTGCAAATGGGTTAGAGGGAGGTCTAAGGATGGTGGCTCTTGCCGGAGCTGAGATGTTGCAAAGAACATCGAAGCGTGTGCAAGTTCTTGTGCACAACCTTTGAAAAGTTGACCTTTTCAAGATTTTTCACTAATGGGTTAATTTGGTTTGTCCTATTTAGTATTTAGTGATGTTTTCGGGTTTTGTTTATTGACTTTATCGCTCGG